AATCGCTTCCACTTGCAATCGTCTGGTTGCACTTGGTACTGGTATTTGTTACAGCAAATCTGTTCTTCTGATTCAAGTCAAGAAAATAGTGGAACCAAAAGAGTAGTAATTATTCTTCCTTATTAATTCAGGAAGGTTTCCAGTCAACAGCTTTCTGAAGAAGATTCACATTTATCCTAAGTCTATCCGACTATAGGACTATACTGTGTGCTGGAGTTCCGATCGGGATCTCTCAGTATTCCTTCTTCTCTGCTGTGTCTTTTTCCTTCTTTCCTGTTCTTTTTTTTTCCTTGGATATTCTGGGTATATGTAGGGGATCTGGCTCCACCCTACTCATTCGAATATTCGATTATCATTGGTCCTTTAGCCTCAGGCAACACCCAAAGTCACTGCCCATTCCCGATTTCCTGTGTCCGGTAATACATCATTTGATGTTGACAAGACGTTTCCTTTACTTCCTCAGGTATGTCGACAGCATACCACCCAACCCTTAGGAGAGGGTTAGCTGGTGGTATCTATTTGACTATAGGAAATGGAATGTTCAATGGGTCATTAACCTACAGGCTAAAACAGTATTCCATTGTATAGCCTCTTTGGATAAGGGATAGTGGATTAATAGAAATATATAATATAGAATAAATTTAAAGGTACTTAAGATTAACTTAAAAATACACCCTACTACATGTATACCATGGATGGATATGATTTTCTGCGAATCCTTGCATCTAAATTACCAGTGCCACTTGCAGCAAAAATGGATTGGACAACTTGAAGTCCTGGAAACGTTTGTGGGTCAAATATCGCGGAATGTAAATGATCCTAGGATTGCCGGACTTGGTTATCAACCAAGGAATCAAGATCAAAAGAACTCAAAACTCCCTGTAAAAGTAAAACATACCTTTGCCACGTACGTGCACGATGCAAGTAATGAATCCAGATCTAATATCCGATACCAAAGAGACAACAAAGCATCAAGAGCGCCTTGTCTACACTGTGGCGAAGGAAGTCATCACTCGATACTTGATTGTAGAGCATTTGGAAAATTGGGAAGTAAAGAAAAATCCGAATTCTGTTCCAGGGTTTATGCTTTAGCTGTCTGAATCCAGGTCACCGACCAAGATCATGTTATATTCGGAAAGACATAGTCTGCAAAGAATGTAATAAGCACCATGTAACGATTAATCATGATCCAACAAGACAACAACAACCGCAGAAGGAAGACCAGTTTAATCCCACAAAGATTACCACAGGCTATGCTAGTGTAAATTATGATAAGTTGAATCCATTGATGGCTATTGTTCCAGTAGTTGTAAAAGCCAAATCCAGTGAGGAATGCATAGCTACGTATGCCTTTGTGGACAATGGATGTGGTGCTGTGTTTGTTGATAATTAATTAAACGTACTACTGAAAACTAAAACCAAACCAACAAAATTAGTGCTGTTGAACCTGGAACACATTCTCCAAACTGATGTAGTGATCGATGAGCTACAAATTGCAAGTATGGAAGGGGATTCTTTTATTGATTTACCACCAGTGTATGTCAGCTACCAGTAACCATGAAGGATGCTCCGACCAAAGAAGAGATAAGAAAATGGAGCCATCTTAAACACATACGGTAAGATTACCAAGCCTATGAGGTAATGCAATTCCGCACGTTACGATGATGATTGGAATTAATGTACCAGCAGCTTCGACTCCACTGGAAGTAATTAGACACAAGCTTGGTGAACCATATGCTATCAAAACACCTTTAGGTTGGCTTGTGTATGGTCTGTCTGGTAAATTATCCAACCAACAAGAAGTGAATGTCAACTTCTGCCTGATAGATAACTCGACTTTAAGTAATAGAAATGATTTGTTGGAACAGCAGTTGAAGTATTATTTCAACATGGAATTTGTTTAGAGACTAAGTAGCGGTCAGCGTCTCCCATTTGTGGAGGATAAGAAGTTCATGCAGATTATGGATGAATCCGTAATTAAAAGAGACGGGCATTACTAATTAGCCTTACCGCTTAGAAGCAGGAATGTACAGCTCCCTAACAACAGGATGCAAGCAGAATTGTATGCCTCACGCTTAAGAGAGAAGCTGAAGAAGAATAAGCAACATGAAAAATACACAGAGTTTATGTCCAACTTGGAAAAGAAGGGTTAATGCAGAAAAGGTACCCGATACTGAACTTACAAGAAACGATGGTCAAGTGTGGTATCTTCCCCACCATGGGGGTTTCCACCCTCGTAAACCAGAGAAACTGAGGGTCGTGTATAACTGTCCTGTGCAGTTTAATGGAGTGTCCCTCAACAGTCAATTATTGCAGGGACCAGACATGACAATCTTAATGTATGGAGTCCTCTTGCGATGGCGCGAAGAACAAATCACACTAAAGGCTGACATAGAATCAATGTTCTACAAGGTACGTGTACACCCTAAAGATAGTGACATGCTGAGATACCTATGGTGGCCGGATGGTAACCTTAACCAAGACATGACCGATTATCGTATGCTTGTTCACCTGTTTGGAGCAGTTTCTTCGCCGAGCTGCGCTAACTATGCACTCAGGAAGGCAGCTTCAGATGCAGAAGGAACTTACAGTGAACAAGTAATTGATGCCATCCGGAAGAACTTTTATGTGGATGATTTTTTAAAATCAGTCAGCCATGAAGACGAAGCGATCACTTTGGTAAAAGAAATGTGTCAGATCATAGGAGAGAGTGGGTTTAATCTAACAAATAGGGACGAGTAACAGTAGAGAAGTCCTACAGACCATTCCTGAAGAACACAGAACCAAAGAAATAAAAGGAGTAGATATTCATAGAGATGAGTTGCCAATGGAGCAAGCTTTTGGAATAAAATGGTGTGTAGAGACAGATCAACTAGAGTTTGACTGTGGAGAGGTAGACCAGAAACCTACTAGAAGAAATATCTTATCAGTGGTGAGTGCAATCTACGATCCACTAGGTATCTTTTCTCCATATTTTCTAAAGGCCAAACAGATACTGCAATCTTTGTGTGCCAAGAAGCTAAGTTGGGACGACCCTATACCAGTCTAAAACCAAAGAACTTTGGGAAAGCAAAAAATGCCCAGCTACACCATTTTGCAGATGCGAGTCTATATGGTTACGGCATAGTCACATACATGCGCATAACCAATGAAGAAAGCAGAGTTTACTGTGGTAAAGCTCGTGTGGCGCCTTTGAAACCGCATACTATTGTGAAATTAGAATTGAATGCTGCCACAGCTGCCGTACGCCAAGATGATTTACTAAAAAGAGAATTGACACTAGATCTGGAGCAATCTGCCTTTTGGACGGACAGTCAAACAGTTCTCAAATGCATAGCAAACAAAACTGAAAGATATCCAGTGTTCGTGGCAAACAGAATTGCTGTAATCCAAGATGGGTCAGAAAATAATCAGTGGCGGTATGTACCATCCAAATTAAACCCAGCAGACCATGCTTCCAGAGGGCTTACTCCAGATCAAATAGCCACCAAACATGAATGGTTGCATGGCCCAGATTTCCTAAAGTTACCCGAAACTAATTGGCCTCAAGCAAGTTAAAACTTGATGGAAGAGAAAGGTGATGGTGAAAATCAGCAATTGCCTGATATAAATGAAATCAATGTGAATGCAGCAATGTTGCCAAACCCAACAAATACTATCGACACCTTAATAAATCACTGTTCAAGTTGGCAGCGTCTCAAGAGAGCTGTGGCTTGGTGGTTAAGGTTGAAAACATTTTTGTTCCAGAGAGCTAAAGGTACGCCTCCAGAGAAAAAGGAACGCCTAACAGTAGATGAGTTGGAAAATGCTGAGATGGCTATAATTAGATACATACAACACCAGGAATTTGCTGAAGAAATCAGGAACTTACAGAGTTCAAGCAAATCAAGCCGAGGAACATTATTACGCCTTGATCCAGAGCTATGAGACGGAATGCTGAGAGTTGGTGGCAGGCTGCGAAACGCATCCATTGGAGAGAATGCCAGGAATCCATTTATCCTGCCAAAACATCATCACATATCAAGACTTATAATACAACATACCCATCAATTAGTTGGTCATCATGGAAAAAACCATGTTCTTGCAGAGCTAAGGCAAAAGTACTGGATTGTTAAAGCCGCTGTGATGGTGCAAAGTATTCTTAGGCGTTGTGTATGCTGTCGAAGAATTCAGTCGAAAGCCAGTACACAGAAGATGGCAGACTTGCCTAATTTCGAGTAAAGCAAGAGAATTCGGCATTTACCTACACCGGGGTCGACTATTTTCGTCCTTTTGAAATTAAGAGTGGCCGTACGATAAGAAAAAGATATGGTGTCATATATACATGTTTGCAATGCAGAGCGGCGCACAGAAAAGTTGCACACTCTCTGGACACAAGTTCGTGCATTGATGCATTGAGGAGATTCATAGCTAGACGTGGTAAAGTAAAAGAAATGTATTCAGACAATGGCACAAACTTTGTGGGTGCTAGTCGAGAATTCAAGCTAGTACTGCGCCAGATAAACCAAGAACAACTTGGGAATTATGCTGCCTCTAGAAATATCAAGTGGGTATTCAATACACCAGCAGCATTACACCATGGAGGAATATGGGAAAGACAAATAAGAACGATACGCAAGGTTCTCACAGCATTATTCAATGAACAATACTAACGAATATCACAAACTGATGAACAGCTCACAACCCTCATGTGTGAGGTCGAATTCATCATTAACAGCCGTCCCTTGACCAAAGTGTCCGATGACCCAAACGATTTGGCAGTTATCATGCCAAACGACCTTTTGCTGCTGAGTCCTGCTGTATCATCCCCAGGAGAATTTATTGATACAGACTTATATACCAAAAAAAGATGGAGACAAATGCAGTATTTGGCCAACATATTCTGGAAAAGGTGGCTAAAAGAATATTTGACATCCTTGCAAGAAAGACAAAAATGGTTGCAGCCTACTAGAAATCACGAAGTTGGAGATGTAGTGTTGATTGTAGACGACCAAGCCCCAAGCAGTTCATGGCCTCTGGGAGTAATTAAAGAACTTTATGCAGATGAAAATGGATATGTGAGAAGCGTAAAGATTAAACCTAAGTCGGCGACTTTGATCAGATCAGACCAATCAGTAAATTATGTCTACTGCTAGAACATGAAACTTAAATTTTACACACCCTAATGCAGACCAAACATATTAAAGAAGATAATTGTTGTTATTTCAGATTTTACATGCTTATAATAAAGAATCAAAAGTAATTATTGTTTAATTATGGCCAATATTGATAGCTAATCATTTTAATCGTAGAAAGGATTATTTTCTTAGAATTAAACATTTCGGCGGTATAGTTACAGATCATAAATATTACTCGTAAGAATGAAGATAATTCTTGCTAACTTTAAACTTTTTATTAAAGAGCGTTAAAAGAAGAAAACGTTAATAACATAGATTAGAAGTTTTGCGTTTACATATGGAACACTGTAAAGTTTTATCGTTGCCTTATATAGGCAACTGAGGCCCGGAATGTAGTGTCCCATTGTAATTTAATGTTTTGGGTAAAGCCTTAGTAGGACCTGATATAGAGGGCGCCGTAATGCGGAAGTTGATGAATGAGACTAGTAACAGCCTGGTGTTCATGAGACGGTCTGAAACGTCTTTTTACCTAACTAGCTGATTGCATTGGAAATAAAGATAAGTTTGTTTGAGTAAATACGACAGTCCGATGAGTTTATTCAAGTCTATTCTCGTGAACACTACAAAGTATAATGCATACTCCAAGTATTGAAATACACGCCATCGTGTTTGGATTCAATATTTCGACATTAATTATGTCATCATCAAGAATGAATTGTATTATACTTTCTTACCTGCGATTAATCAGTGGACCTTTCGTTTTTTAACACACACATTGTCATTATTTCACACTGTTCGATCGACCGAATATCATAAGAGTGCCGGCCATACTTTCGGAGGTCATGTTACTTTAAGAATCATAACTCCTTAACGGAGGGTCGTATCGACATATTTTTTTCTATAAAATGTTCGCAAAGGATATATCTAAATACTGTATGAGAAACAAAAAAATTAAAATTTGTTTAGTCTGTCGAAACTTAATTGAAATAATAGCAACACGCACTACACAAAATCGGTCTTCTATTTTCCAGTCAAATTTTCATTTTTTTTTTTATTCATACAGTACGTAGATATATCCTTTGCGAACATTTTAAATAAAAAAATATGTTGATACGACCCTCCGTTAAGGAATTCTGATTTCATGGCCTCCGAAAATATTGCCGAAACGCTATGTTATTTCTGTTGGTTACTTCGCTGCTCAGCATTGTTTGTCATCCATCGAAGATGTCTACCGCAGCGTGAAAAAGACCTTTAACAGAGAATAGAAGCTGGCTAACAAATGTTTATCCCTTAATTACTCAAAACTATGAAAATTTCATTTGCTTCCTTTTGTCATGGGGGCAGTATAGGCTATAGCATATTAAAATCAATTAAAACGATGGCTGTGGTGTTATCGAAAATACTTGGCTTGACTTGGTTTGGAGTAGGCACGTACCGTGATCCTCTCTCTCTCTCTCTCTCTCCCTCTCTCTCTCTCTCTCTCTCTCTCTCTCTCTCTCTTTTCAGAAGGGGAGGGAGATCAGCTAACTTATGTGTTTGCTAGATGATTGAGTGAATGATGATAATTTGTATTGTTATGGAAAATCTTCATTGAGAAAATCAATACCTTCATGAATCAAGGGTGTCGGAAGCGGTCCAGCTGGCCCGGTTTTGGCCAGACTGTTACATCCTTGCCTATTTTTGATTAACTTTGAATTAACTTCTTTATATAATTATATATAATATAATATTTTGTAGTTAGCATTTTTATGACCTTAAGTTTTACTCAACATTTTCTAGGAAAGTACTGTTTCCTTATTTTAATTTGTTTTACTTTGTAAAGCTCATAACTATTATTATCCTACAGTATGCTATTGTCCTATGACCTACAAGTTCCTTTACCCGTGGTCAGTATTTAATTAACGCAAGGTAAATGAACTGAGTTTTGTACCTACAAGACTTGAATGTGGTTTCGCATCCTGGACATTTACTTTCAATTGGTCCAAACCACTTATTTATTACCTTAATTAAGTATATGTTTATCTGACACTTTACTATAGCTTTTAATTGGTGGATTAGTTTGCTAAACTTCTTGGAATTGGTGCCCTGATTGGATGGGACTCTTAATATGCAAAGTGTCACACCCTCTTAAAAGGTCTTACTTCCCAGAGTAATTCAGTTGTAATTTGGGATCCAATGCAGACAACTCAAGACACCTTTATTACCTGGAACCCTGTTATTTTGTCCGGCTTCAGTTCCTCTTCTGATCTGTAAGTAAAGTACTTAAATTGCTGCTTCAGGTTCTAACCACCACCCTCCTCTAAGCTCATTTATATGTTTAATTTCTATCTTTGTTTAATTACCGTATTATAATCGCATTGTAAATAAATTATATATATTTTGTAAATACACAAAAGTTGTAATCTCTTCTCTGTTAGTTATTCTGAGCCGTAACGTAACAGAAAGTGGGGGGTCATCCGGGAAAGGAACATTTTTAATTGGCTCATTAATTAACCATTTGGTTTATGTTCTTTCCATCTTGAATATTTTTTATTTTCGAATTCAATTCATTTCAATTCATCATGGCTTTTGTGTTGGCAGACTTTACTGAATCGCCTTCTCTGGACGTTCTTGAAAAATGTAGAAAGTTAGACCTTCTTGAAATAATTAAGCATTATAACTTAGTTGGAGATCCGAAGTTGCGCAAAGCACAGCTACGGAATATAATTATCGAGTCCCTTGTGGATAACGATATTTTTTAAGAGGAGGCTCTTCAACATTTAGAGGAAATAGGTGGGCCACCATCCCTAGAGTTAGAATTACAAAAAAAAGAAGTTAGAATTACAGGCTAGGGATCTAGAGCTAAATGCAGAGAAAAATAAGCTAGAGCAAGAGCTAAATGAGGAAAAAAATAAGCTAGAGCAACTATATGCCGAGAAAAATAAGCTAGAGCAAGAGTTAAATGCCGAAATAAATAGGCTAGAACTGGAAAAGGAAAAGCTTAAAATGGAGTTATAAAATTAAGGAAATAGAACTTAAATCTAAGGACAAAGCAGAGCCAAAGTTTGATGTTAATAAAAATATTCGTTTAGTTCCACCCTTTAAAGAATTTGAAGTCGACAAATATTTTCAGCATTTTGAGAAAATTGGTCAGTCCATAGGATGGCCAAAAGATTATACACTTCTCCTACAGAGTATATTGACTGGAAAAGCTCGTGATATTTATATTTGTATAAATACAACCGAAATTAGTGACTACGATATTGTTAAAAAAGCAATCTTAAAGGCATATAAGCTTGTTCCAGAAGCCTATCGGCAAAAATTCCGCAGTTACCGCATTAGTGGTAATCAAACCTACGTGGAATTTGCGCGCGAACAGGAAAATCTGTTCGATCGCTGGTGCACCTCAGAAGAAATTAACAAAGATTATCAATTACCAGTGGCGTAGAAAAATATTTTTCATTGGGGGGGGGGGATGATTG